TCAACATTTCTTTCTTCTTCCATGACCAATTCTCGTAAAATCTCGTCAATAGTATCTTCATAACATTCATTATCACTAAGATTATATTTATCAGTATTCAAATCAGAATCTGACGATGTAATTTTATTTATGCTTCTCCTTCCGGGCAATCCGATCTCTTTTCATTATTGAAAAAAAATAAGGGCAGAGATTTTAAGTTATACCATTCGGTACTCGGCAAAGATTCCAACTGTTCATGCAGGAATAGAAACAGATATGAATTAACAGCGCACGCTTCCTATAGCGGCACGGGTGGCCTGTAGGAGATTTTGTTGTAAATACGCATGGCAGTCAACGTGTTAAATGATTTTAATATGACTTTGAAATCTGTTTTAGCCGTGCTTCGCGGCGATGCTATCGAGTCCCAAAAATTTGACGATGTAATTCGAGCATTCTAGAACATCGTCTCCTTTATTAGAACTCGATATCCGTCTTCCAAGCATACTCCGTTAATCGTTAATTTTTACTTCTCCGTAAACAGAAATGTGGGTCACAGCGAAGATTCAATCTTTATACTATTTTAAATCGCAACAACACATTTTCGCCATAAATGTGTTCGCCACAAATCTCCAATCGTTTTCCAACTGATACCAATTCCGAGAACAGACAAAAAAAACTCGTTCATCCAAGAACGATATCGTTCGTGGAAAAATCGCGAACCTCTTCACAAAATGTGTTAGCTAATTATTCGGAATTCGATCATTTTTAAACGAACTGGAGCTCATTTTTGGCCGATTCTTCGATAAGTTGCGAAGGAAAGAGGAAAAACGCGATCTCGCTCGAATTTTCCCTTCGCAACGGTCAGGAATGCTTCTCGCGGACACTTGTTGTTCGCTAATCAATTTCGAGCGGAGCCAAGAAAATCTAGAAAAGAGCGCGGCCGGCGCATGCGGCGGTAACTGCATTACGTTTCCCAGCGGCTGTTTCGGTTGAAATTCGTCGGAACGAGCCCCGTCCGCGTCATTATTGCCCCCTAATATTCTTCCGCGGAGCAGCCCGCTGCTCGCCGCAAGAGAAAAATTCGAGAAAAAGGAGCGCCGAGGCGGAGTTGGCTCTTGTTACCGCGGCAGCGCAACCTCAGAACTCCGCCAGCTGCGGTTCCCCGTGTTACAACTATTCTCGGCATTACGCAACGCGCGGGGGAGCCTCTGGTCGATCACCTCGCGAAAAAAAAGCTGCGAGTCCTCCGGGACGTGCGACGAGCGAAAAATGCCGCAGGGTCGCGTCGTGCCACCGGTTCGCTCTGTGTGCACAAGCGCCGAAGTGGACCTTAGCGGGGGTCTGTTTATGCGAAATGGCTGACCATGCCGGGGTGGAACCATACTCACCCTCCCTCCCCCCTATCGTCAGATGGAACACCGTGAAACAATAAAATCGATGCGGTGACCCTTGGTTCAATCTCCAAGAGCGTACACGATCGACGTTTTCAGTCGCCGACGACGTTCACGATGTTCTTTCTAGGCGACGAGAAACGTCGGAGATGTTGGAACGTCGCGCATAAATTACCGAGAAGCAAAAATGTTCGCCGATGAATTTCAGTAAGTGGAACAGGCCGGTGAAATGTTTCAGCGAAATCGTGAGCTCACAAATAAGTATTGTGTCACCGCTGAGAGTCCATGCGCCTAATTGTGTAATTCCGGGCGCCTAGTTAAGGGTTGAAGCTATCTCTCTCTCTCTCGCGCGCGCGCGAGAGAGAGAGAGACGCGAGTTCTAAGAATTCATCCTTGGGATCGTGTTCCAACGTTCTCTCTTTGCTTTTCTTTCCGATGTTCCTGGCTACTGAAGACGCGGCATTGTCTGCTGCATTGTTGACCCGCTTTGAAAATAATATCGCGACCATTTCCAAGAAACACTAACCAAGAACGATACAGACACTCTCGGAGGACTGCTTGAATGAACGGGGCATTATGCAACAGTTTATCGCCGTCTACCAACCCCTTTTGATGTTACGATATTCCAACGATATTTCCGACATCTGGTTCACTGCGGAAACCACTCCTTCGCTGTGCTGCGCGGATAAATAATAAATCGAAGACAATTCCGCGTACATCTTCGCGGTTATCGGGGTGCTACCGCAACCCCTTGGTGGACTGTACGAAGCACAGGGAAAGCTAGAAGACCGATTTCGAGCTCTTCGAACTCTCTCGACAAAATGCCAGACCGATTAGATTCAGCGGGGTTGCTCGAGCTCCCGATACGAACGCTCGAGAAAACAGATCGCGGTACCATTTTAGGGTAAAAATTCTCACCTTCGCCGAGCCGCGTAAGTCCCTGTTCGCTGTCTCTCGACCAGTCTCTGCGATCGTCGGCGGTGGAGACGAAACGCCGAGAAACGAACACACTCACATATCACACACAGCCCGGTGGTAACTCGCGGCGATCGCGTCGCGATGGATCGTTCGCTGGACGTGAGTGTTCGGCCCACGAAGAATCACCAGTTTCCGGCGCGCGCGAAAACACGAACGGTGTATGCCGCGGGGAAGGACAGAAACAGAGAGAAACCGAGAAAGAGAAAAAGATAGAGACAGAAAGAGAGAAAGAGATAAAGAGAGAGAGAGACAGACAGACAGAGATGGCACGGGACGAGCACGAATTTGGTCGCGAGCGAACGAGAACGAAAAGGGAAGGAGGTTCTCACGTTTCACGACACGTATCACGCGCGGGTCACTGTCGAGAGTCGAACACGATGCTTTTAGCTTGAGGGTTGCCGCGGTACTGCGAGGACCGCGCTGCCGAGTATCCGAGACTGCCGCCCGAACGCGGTCCCTACCCGCCCGACCCGCTCGCCCATCCACCCATTGCTCGCTGATTTCCCGCCGACCGTCCCCATTGGATCATTCGAACCAGAGCTTGCGCTCTCCACGATCGCCGAACTTGGCGTCGAACGACTTTCTCTTCGTTTGCGAAGTTTCTCCCTTTAGAGCTCGCCGAAACCGCGAGTTTTTTCCGTTCCGTTCAAGACGTTAGAACGTTTCATCCCTGACTCCGTAATGACGAATCTGGCCTGTTCTGAATGAATAGCTTTGAAGTCGAACTCCGATGGTGTCGAAAGACACCTTTTATTTGTTTCTATGTAACATTATTTTTACCATAGGGGTTAAAGCACGTTTATCAGTAATTTTTAATGAAAATTATTTTCCATGTTTTCTATGTTTTTTATGTGATCGCTATATCGCGGATTTTTATGCAAGATAAAAATCGTTTGCGTCAATTAAAAGATACCGGAACCGAATAGCAATAGCTTTCGGTAGTAATTTTAATAAATGAGAAATAACACATTGACGATTTCTAATTATTTTAATCCCTTGCCGTATTTTGACGACTCGTCCTGAAAATTTCTAGTGACAACTTATTGAGTTCAACTCTTGTCATCAATATTTAAGCATTCAAGTAAATTTAGGCATCAATTTTCTTTCTCATCCAAAAAATTATAACAATCGAAAAATTTCTAATCGCAGTAAGCGGCTGCTGCTAAATTCTGCCATAAATGCATAAAATTCGCAGTCGAATAATCACTTCTCAATTATTGCTATAGTCATCGCAAAATTAATTCGATCAATTCTATAATAGGAAGTAAATTAACATTAAGTAAATTAATATAATATCAGTAAAAATGGTGTCAAAAAAGCATCGAATGTAGACGCGCTAGAAATATTTCTTCTTTTTCTATAACCGAGCGAACTCGAATCGTTACAAACGTGGAAAAAATTGTATAACAATAAACAATGAAAAGCACAAATACTCCTGCTTGGAGGTACAGTAAATTCTCCCTAATCGACGCTAGTTCTCCCTAGTTACCGAACGACTATAAAACCAAGCCGCAAGACTCGAAAAATCGTGCCACTTCTTCTCAAATCGTCCGTTTTTGTGCCGAATCCGAGCGTCGATTAGGGAAAATGTAATCCGAGGAAGGATTCCCGAGAAGCTCATCCTACAGTGACACGAACTATCCGCTCGAATATTTAGTTATCAAGACAGTAGTGCCGAGATAACGCCCCTTAATAGATACCCCATTGAGGCGGAACCAGAACAGGATCTTAACTAAATCCAGCAATTACGCACTATTACAGTTGCCGAAACAATTGGCCCCGCATCGACGTCTAATTAATACGTTTCACCGGGAGACAATTAATCGAGCTCGAGGCGCAGCGTCTCCGGGAGAGAGACCGAAGACTACGTCAAACGCGGGGCGTCAGATAAGAAGCAATCTCTGCCGATCTAGGATCGATCCCCCGGCGCGACGGGGTTAATTGCATCTTCCGCCGTGTACAACTGCACGCGCGAGAGCTTTTTCCATGTCCACATTTCCGTGGGAATATGAGGCAAACATGGAGGGAAGACCGAGAGGTGAACGAGGGCCGGAGACCATGAGGGTGGGAGGGAGGGAGGGAAAACTGGAAATGAAATTACAACTGTTCGCGGTAATAGTAAATGTTTCCATCGCGGCGTGCTAGAACATTTGAAAGTGTAATTTCCCCGACACAATTATAACACTAGTTTCCCTCTCCCTCTGGCCGCCCTGTACCAACCCCCGCCATCCCTTTATGCTTAGTACCGCAATGCGCTTCTGTATTCAATTCAAGCGTTCGCTGTCAAATATACACCCCCTGAGCTCGCAATTCACCGAGATCTAACTCAAACAAAATTACTCCGCTTCTCTCTCTCTCTCTCTCTCTCTCTCTCTCTCACTCTCGCTTCTGGTTCTCCCCTATTGATCGAGGGTGCACGCGTGTGCCCAGGCTTTTTCCTCCGTCGTTTCGTTAGCGATATCTCGCTAATAACCGAGCCGCCCCCGCGTCAATGAAATCCGGCGACGTGATACACGTTCGTTCGATACCGGGGACGAGGCACAGGGATCCGTGCAGGGTGCAGAACCGTTAATTTATGCGAGGCCAGAAGGACTGGGATGATGGACGGCGTTAATTCGACGAGACATCGCGATCCTTTCTCACGCTCGTCTCGCCTCGCCTCGTCTCGCCTAAGTCTTGCCTCCCGAAAATGGCGAAGATGCTTCGAGACGTTATCCACCAGCCGGAAGTTGTTCAACGGAACAGCATCTCAACCCCTCCATGATCGTTCTCCGCGGGATCCTGGAGAAAGAGAGGGAGAGAGAGAGAGAGAGAGAAGAGAGCGAGAGCCACTTAGCCGAAATTACCCGATCCGACATAGACGAGTGGCAAGAAGCAAAGAGAAACGGAGGGGCGAGGCGAGAACGACGTGGCCCACGTAATCTTGATTTGCGAGTGTTTCGTGATAGCAATCGATGATAAGCCATCCCTAACGATGATCGAAGGGCGACCGCCGATAGAACCAATTTGCTATTTTGTACTCGATCGTAAATACGCCTCGTTCGATTTAATGAGACGCCGATCGGAACACTCGATTCGCCTTTTCCGCCAAAAAAAGATATTCATTTTTCAGAACCTCGTACAGTCCGGATCTCGTCCATTGAATATTCCACGGATTGATCGGAGAACGAACTTCCAGATCCTGGCTTAATCGATCACGTAGCAAGAGATCACCGTCCTGTACGTCGCACGCATTTCTACCGATGCAACGGAAAACAATGCTTTTGTTTTCCTAGAAGCGCGTTCACGTATAAAAATGTACCGACAAATTACTGACGGTAAAAGATAAGCAAATGTCACACGTTCTTTACTCAGTCTAAAAAAAATTGCCTAGGCGTCTCCTCATTGTTCAGCAAATGTTTTCTTATCGAAATGCTGCAATAACTCTCTTCGTTTCGTTTTTTATACGCATCTCTAATATGCTTCATTTTTGTACTCATCTTTAATATTCTTTCTTTTTCCTTCTGTTAAAGTTCTCGGCATCCTTTCTTCATAATTTTCTTCCTTCGACGCTAGCGAAAATGCGAGTAAACTTCGATCGATTTCGAAAACGTTACCTCAGTTTCTCTGTATACACTGTTTTATATGATAGGCAATATACCGCGAAAATATCGTCTGCGCGTAGACGCGTGTTGCGTCTAATCGCAAGCGGCGAACGCACACGTCGAGCCGTCCGCGTTCGACGCTTATAGGAGATCCCTACCCACCCCCGTAAGCGTAATCGCCGATAAATTGCGCGGCGGTCGAGCCACGAAAATTGCGCGTTCAAAATGCAGATGTAAATCAATTGCTGCGGCCAGTAAATAACGTTTCCTTCCATGGAAACTTTGCGATTCGTCCGAGAAGGGCACACGGTAAATGAGCGTAGTACCGTGGTGCGTGAGAGTGAGAGGGCAGCGATGATCCCATTGGACGGCGCCGACGTGGAAAATTTAGATTACAAAGTTAGGGGTGGATAACGCCTGTCATCCCTCTCCGGGAGCGGGCGGTTGAAAAAAGGGGGAGGGCAACAATTCACGGGACTTCGGACCGCGCGGATGCACTCGGCCGGTCCGAAGGACAAACTTTCACGTCCCCTCGAACGCGGCATCTTCCAGCTATCTTTTCCGGTGTCTTCCTCTCTCTCTCTCTCTCTCTCTCTCTTCTTTTTTCCCCACCACCCACAAAGAGGAATCGGCCTGGTCCCGTTAATCCTTTCCGTGCCATCTCGCCACCCTGTTTCAGGGGTGTAGTAAAAACTTGTGTCCCGGAGTTTCTCCATACTTCTTCGCCTCGGTTATCCGTCGGACGGTTCTCCCTCATTTCTCATTCGTTCCTCGGAGAGAAGTGCACTTTAGCCGTGTCACCTTTAGACAAAGATACAAAGGAATATTCCGTGCGTTACGCGAGTATCACGTAGCCGGGGCCACTGGAATATTTTATGGGGGTGGGCGCAGCTAGCTAGAGCAACCCCACCCTCACCCCCCGCGAACCTCTTTTCCGCTGCGATCCGAGCGCGCCGGACCCGGGACACTTTTATTCGTCCGCGTGGGACCCGGGTGTCGCGTACCTCTCGCGAAATGCATCTTGCAGCCAGGATTGATGCACTCGCCGCTGCGACAAATCATCCCCGAGGTATGGCACACCCTATCGGCCGCGATCTGAGTGCATTCCGACCTCGGACCGCCCGGTGCTTCGATCATCAGATTGCACGGTGTCACGTGGAATATAAATGCGGGCACACACTGGCACGCGAACGTGTCGTACATCTACGTCTGTCTGTGTACAAGCCCGTCCGAACAGACGAATCGGCGGGCATAATGCGATCTCGATTGCCCGAACCTCGGATGTGTAAATTCTTCGAATGCATCGATCTAAAATCTGCAATTAAATTCCCGGCTATTTTCTGTAGCATAAGGCTGCCCTGGCCGTGACCTGACCCTGTCGTAACCTTGACCTAAACCTGTTAACCTGATCCAATCCTGCTCTACACTTCAGATAAGGTTATATGTAAAAATATGGTATAAAAATATCCTGGAATTCTACTTTCGGCATATTCGTCAGATAGTATATTTTGATAGTTTCAAATCTTTTATGCGAGAAGTTATGCCAACAAAATATGTACGCACATATTCAATCAACAGCTTTGCACGCGGACGTTCATTTATAGAAACATAAGATTTGATTATTCGATGCAAAATAAACAAGAATTTTCTTTATGAAATCGTATAATTTTTGCACGCAGATCGATGCATCATTGCATTTCCTTTGACAAATTATTATAATATATTTCGGTCGAAAATCGATTAGCTTAAAAGGTATGATTTTTGTCCCGGATGCTCGCATAAGCGCCGCACCGTGCGGGGTCGAGATCTTCGTGTCCCGGCGAACGGCGAGCCGGATGCGGGGG